ACTCTCTAGTTAATAATTAGATTGTAATAATGCCTCTTAAGTAAAAACAGTAGTTGTTACAGCCTTAAAAAATAATAAAATAATATATTTAAAAATCAATAATGTGATTAGTTATTACGAATGAATACAAAAATATTAATAAAGTGTACTTAAATATTATCATAGATGCATTTACAAATTAAATGTAACCATAAGTGTTACCATTAAAATTTAATTATTTAAAATAATAATAGTATAGACAAACAAATCTTGAGATAATCTTATGTAATGAATAGAAACAGCGTGTAAAGTAATAATTGGTTATCATTAAACAATGTTACTCAAAAGTGAATGTTTTAGCGAACGTGCTAAATTAATAATCTAAAACAAACTAATTACACGATACGTGACCAAGTTATAGTTAAAAAATAATTAATTTCCTAAATTCTCAGCTATTTTTTCTTAACATACATTTTACCTGAAAGAATTCGCAAGGTGTTTGTTAACAGATTCATTAGTTGAGACCTACTGACCATTTAAAATAATTATCATCAGCTATCGCCCATTAGGATCTATTATTTTCTCGTGTTAGACTTTTGTTATTAAATTTTGTTACATATATTAATTAATTTATGATTTATCTTTATTTTCGCATTTCATAAACCTGTTGTTGATTTATTATTTGAAGACCTGCTAGCTTATATATTTTACAATGAACTGGTGTTTAAATTAACAAAAAAAATAGAGCAAATCAAATGCATAAATACTGATTGTTGATATATTTTTATGATTAATCTGCCCACTACCATAGCTTGTTGAAATTCTTGTAAGCACGCCAATGAAAAAATAAAAATATATGCTTTATCCTAAACATCACTAGCTGTTAGCTGCGAAGAAGTCTGACCGTTGCTGGCTGATCGGACACGTCTAACGGCAGACAATAAACGATTCATCTCCTTGGACATTACCGGTCGTCGGGGAAATGAGGTGGAGACCTTTTACAATCGAGATCTGTGTTTGTGTTAAGATCGTACAGAGTCGTGTCTTTTTTTAAATCAGATAATATTTTAGGCCCCAACATAGACTCCTACAACGATACATCACTTTCGACATCTTCATTAAGGCCCAATGCGACACGTGTATGAAACACAGATGTATTTGTGTGTAACTGAAGGTATTTATTTAATATCATTATAGTCTTATTTATTTGAAGCATATTGAAAGTAAAACTTATGAACAAAAAGAAATGTAATTTTTAACACTTAGCAAAGAGTTAAATGAAAATTTAATGTACCAAAAAAATAACATAATAAAATATGGTACATGTTTAAATGATTCGCAAAAATTTAAGTATACAAATGAATTCTATTTTGGATTAGAAATATAAACAATTTTTGGACTTACTTTATTTAACATCAGGTATGAATTAAAAGGTCTCAACAAATGTTATAATCAAAATTAGTAGAAAATAAACAAATTATATTTTTTTTTGGTTCATTATTTCATAAATTTAGCAATGAAATTTATCAAAAGAGTACTACTGAACACATCCGAAAATAAATTGCGACTGAACTTGTTATGACTAATACGTAAAAATATGGAGCTGAGACGGTTTTATATTTTTATGAATATTAGAAGAATAAGGGGAATATAAAATTGGCTATTTATGACCTATAAATATTTAGGTACTGGTTGGCGTAACTTATGCTTTTGTTTTATTTTATTTTTGAGTTATGATAATACACGGAATTATCAGCCAAGCGGTACTACCTAACTCCACACTATTCGTTATTAAAAGTAATTAAAGTTTTTTTAGTTAAAGAGCTCATTGAAGAAATGTTGAGTGCAAGAATCACTGGTATTCAACAATATTTCTAGATCACTTTAGTGCAGACGTAATAATCATTTACATTAATTTAGTGTAAACATTAATTATTATGTTTCAAATCAGTAAAATATTATCATCCTATCTATTTTTTTTTAACCTCATTAGAATTTTAATACATTTTTGCCTTATACTTTTATCATTATTTAGTTCATGTAAAGTTTCTATATTATAATTGTTTAAATTAATAGTTTTGTGACATTATTTTGTCGAGTCTTGTTTGATCAAGTTTAGTGCTTATTATATGGAAAATATTCAAAATATTTGGTCAGATCATTGTTGGTTCGGGCTGAAATTTGGCTTTTGAAAAAAAAACTTTTGTTCATTTAGATTTTATATTTTTATTGTATCGATTTGGAATAGATATTATATATATTAATAAAGGAAAAATAATGTTTTATTAAATTCTCAACAAAGAATGAAAAGTTGCCTATGTTTTGCGCCCAAGTAATCTTTGTTAAAACTCTTGTAAATCAAAAAAGTATTCATAGATTCCTATAATAATTGACCAAACACTATGTTTATATTAACATTTAAGTAATAGCAAGTATCAAAAATTATAGATAAAATATAAGAAAGGTGTAGGTAATAAGGCCTATCATCTTAGCTTGTATTAGATTTAGCTAAAACTTATATAAAGCCAAATACAAATTAAATCTTATTACTTGTACTTGCCTTATAAACAGATTCATCGAATTTCAAAAAAATTAAATTTTTATAAATTGTTGACATTACTAATACATATTATCTTTGTTCGATTTTATACAAGATTTTAATTTTAATGAAAGAGAGGATAATGTCTCAATGGCTCAATGAGAGGATAAAATCTCAAAAAAACTATTGAGTTAATTAAAATTGACTCGGTAAGTTTTTTTTTGTCATAGACTGTTATTTTCTAGTAATTTATACATAGAAATACAGTTTGATTGATTTATTGATGACCACTAAATTTCTCAAAGTAAATTATTGGATCGATTTTAATGTTCAATATGTTGAAATAACCCGGTTTTAATGTAAATGAACTTAAAAGCACCAAAAGTTAAAAAAACCTTCATTTTTAGAAATTTATAAAAATATTTTAAAAAGTATAATTTTCGTAAAATTATGAAAAAAATTTAAATCTGCATTTTAAAACTGATCTAACTGTTTTTTAAAATCATTATTCCAAACGAAATTTTAATAAAATATACTAGATACAATGAATTTTCTTTTACATTTTATAAAAATCCGTTGAAAAACTTAATATTTAAAAACAAAAAATTGTGCTGACTATTGTTCTACTATATGAAGTCGGCCGTCAAAGCAAAAAAATAATGTTGTTATCAATTAAAGAAATAATTTAACAAGCATTTAATTTTCGAATGAATTTTTAAATCATAAAAATTGAAAAACTAAAAATATACAAATTTTGTCAGATATTATCTATACATCTTATATATTCCAACTTTGCCAGGTCACCTGAGTGCGCGACCTTACTGTGCTATTTTTTTTTTTTTATTTAGTATTATTTATTTATTGATTTTTAGAGTGGTTAAATATTTGTTCGGTCTTTCCCACATCCCCTATAAGTATATCAAGACTATTTTTTTAATTGCAACATGCATATTTAATTGGTCTTATAATAGAAAATGACTGGTCGATAATAACTTTTGGATCAGTATTTGGGAATTTATTAACATCTAGACTGGAGGCAAAGTTTAGTTTATGAATTTTTATCATTATGCACCACTCTGCTGCACTACTCCTTCCGCTTAGTTATAAAAATAATCCTAAGTCCTGAAATACTGGTTGAAAATTTGTTACCAGCCAGTCATTTTCTTAGTTGGGTTTTTATTATATGAATAGTTAAATATGTATGTTACAATTAAAAAAACTAATTGGTATCCTTTTTAGGGATAAGGGATAAATCTAACAAACATTTAACCAATCTAAAATCTATTAATAAATACTACATAACAATCCAAAAAAAATTTTCTAAAATGTTATTATTTTAGAAGAAATCTAATGGTCAACGATAAATCATCAATCATCCTACATTAGTTCACTAAAAAATAGCATTCTAAGAAAATTTAGTAAAAACATTCATAACTATCTTAGATGTAGAATTTTATTAGAAAATTATGTTAAACTTTGTGTTTGCTTGTATTACTACTTAAACCAATAAATAACAATTATGTTCAAATACAAAATAATAATAAAATTATAGTGTAATTAATGAATATTAGTGGACGTGTAGATAAAATAAATTAATGAACGATGAATAATACAGAATGTGTTATAAGTACAACAACTGTAATGTTATACATTATTAGCAAAAATCTGAAAACATAAAATTAATGATATTAATGAAATATTAACCATTAGTCAAGGCAAATAAGAAACGTGTGCAACGGATAACATTCATAAAATATGAAATACTCAGCTGCGCAATGCAAACAAATGAAGTCGTGAATAAAACCAAATCGTGTCGTGTTTGAATGAGAAAAAAATAATCTGATAATTACGGTTTTATCTGATAACGTGATAAACATTAAGACTATTCAGAGGAACTAGATATCACGTTGTGGTGGTTTCCCTTGCGGACAATTTTTAACGACTGCGATGACTACCTCTTCATGTTCATAAACTTACAATAAAACAATTATGCCTAAAATAAAACGATAACCGCATAGAAGCTCAAGGCAAGTAATGTCGTTAACTTGTCCATTCACTTTTTGGAATGGCTAAAGAAAAATATTTTACCTCACACACAGATATTGGTAGGTACCGTGTTGTCCAATAAAAATATGTTTCGTTAATTCATGATTCAGTTCATTTTGCTAAAGTGAACTGCAAACATTGAACAAATGACCGTTGACTTTTTTAGACGATTTAAACGATGAAATATTTTAAAATTACCATTCTATTAAAAACTAATTTTTAATTATCGTATTCGCCATATATTCATCCATGTGTAAATTATTTATACAGGTTTGCATTTTTTCAAAATATAAATAAGTACTGATAATGTTTTGAATTAGGAAAAACTATAAACAAGAGTTCAATTAATTTTGGTCGTTGTTTAAATTGAGGTTCATGATAGTCATATGAACCCGAGACTTGTCAACCATTTATTTTAATCACTCAGTTTTGTTTTAAAGATCTTATGTATCTACAATTTTTATTAAAATTTTAATTATATTTCTATTTAATTCTAGTTTGTTTAAAACATTCTACTTCTGTACTCTTCCCTATTAAGGTCATTCTCTTCAGTTCCCTGTAGATTTTCAGTCCGGCATTTTTAATAACTTATCGATTATTGTTGTATTTGGATATCCTTTGCATTTTAAAGTGTTGTGGTGTATTCGTGTTTTAAAGTATGTCCAAGTAGTTTCCATCTTTTTTCTTTGAGTGATCTTAATAGACCTCTAGGTTCACCAATTTTATTAAATACACTCTCATTGTACGGAACATTGTCCAGCTAACCTATAGCCATAACTCTAACAAATAACTTTGAAAATGGTCTTGAAATTCTACAAGCTTTAAACATTTATTAAATTAAAACTTATGTTACACATTATAAGTTAAATAAAAAACAAAAAATTTCCGACGACTTAATTCTGTATCTAAACGGTCACCGAAATTAGACAACAAATATTAATTTGGTATACAATAAAAATATTCAGAACTATATTCTGTATAATTATATTTAATAATATACTAATTTTTAGAAATACTACGGGCCTAAATTTTCCTAAGTTTTGTCCACTGATATATTGTTGAATTTTATTTTAATCAAGATTTTTTTGGTTATTTATTTATTTTATGTAAATATTTGTTTTTTATTAATTAGTATTTATCTTAGAAATTAAAGATGATAAAAAAAACTTATTGCTGTTTTGAAATCAGCGTAAAAATTGGTTTAGAAAAAGTATATTTTTGTAAGCAATTAAATTATCTTGTAAACCAGTTTAGACCAAATGATTTTCTGAAAAATTTTGCATTAAACACTTCAATTTTTATAGACGTTGTCCATAGAAGTAACGAAACTACTTTATAATTTTTGATATTTTTTCTGTAAAATTTACAATTTTGAATTATTGATTATTAATTTAAATATATTAATGTATTAATTTCAATATTAAATTAATACATAATAGTTTTTTTACAGAACTCGAGATTCAATCTAAAAATAAAAATTTGTCAATATTCATCAATTTCTTTAAAAAAAGATGAGTTATGTTTTCATTGAAATCTGTCAGCATAAATCATTATTGAAGATTTGAAAAAATTACAAAAAATATAACATGACATATAATAAAATCTGAATTTTCTAAAATAAGTTTTATTCTTTTTAAAATAATGCAATAAGTTACTCTATTACAATCTAGAATAGAATTCAGGAAAGTGCATATCACTCTACTTAGTAGAATATACTATAATACCTAACGTTTTATTTTATTATTCCTGTAAAGGATTGTTTAATAAAATAATGGCGGTCGGTTAATTAGAATTTTACCTGTAATTGGACTTCAAATTAATATTATTCAGGAGAGGCGCCTCTAGCTAGATTTACAAAGTGATTTCGTCGGTGGTTGTTTTTCTTATGGACGACCGACCACGTTCAAGATGTAATATGTTCATCGTTGTTTGTGCACTGCTCATGCTACACACATAATTTTGGGTTTGTAATAAAATACTAATTGGGTAATTGGCCAAGGACCGATGCATCCGGTCTAATAACATGTGAGTAGTATGTGTACCTATAGAAATACTGTTGTTATTTAGTTTATTTGATGTTATATCCTCAAATATACAATGAGCTGCCACTGAATAACTGGTGATTTAATTAACCGGTTTTTGTCTCGTTTATTTACTTTGGTTCACATAAAATCATGTAAAACAGACACCTGCAAAAGATAATATTTTTACTTGGCCAATTAAAACAATATAAATTATTTTTGCTTAAAATTTAATATATGACTTTTATAATATTACCAGCGTCCTGTTATGTAAAAACTTATAGGTTATGTACACTCTATGAGAGATTTTTGAGCCCTCAATGGAAGATAACTATGATATAAGACACCTTTTCCATTTGCATATATCGTATAAAGATGTGAAGAAGTTGAAAATAAAATATAAATTTTATTAAATGTACAAAATTAACTGAGGTGTTCATTTTTTATAATTTTCTATACACCCTTTATCCCCTACACAATTGTATAGATAGCTTAAGTATTAAATCATGCAGTCAAATGAATACCTATCAATTTTTTTTTAATTTCAAATATACAAAAATATATGTGAATATTTATAATATTTTTCCTGGATATATGTTAATTATCAAAATCAAAAATACAATGTATAAGTATGTTATTCCTCAAAACAAAACTGTTCTTTTGTAATTTGAAGTCATGAAAAATTAATTATTTGTTCTTTTTAGTGGTTATATTTACAATTTAAAAATATAAAATTTATAATATTATAAATGTATATGCAACAAGCTCGGCGATTTTTAAATTGCTCAATTCTTAACTATTTAGAAATAATTAATACTATCATAATTCTTTAAAACTAAAATGTATAACATTTGATATCTGTATTTGCTTAAGATTATTTCAATGAAAAAAAAAAAAAATACATACCAGACAAAACTACATAAAAAAAAGACCATCTCACTGCTCTCAGACATAAATTTATTTATGAGCTGATACCTGCAAGGATTTTTTTTGTCCTTTATTGTATACCTGTGTATTATATAAATTTAGTGCATATAACTCGTGCTCTTGGTAATAATAATATATCAGTCTGAATTTATAATACCTCTTTTAGAACAATTGTCCCAGATTTGCGATGCGATACCCATTCTTGAGTTTTAAAGTGGAGACGTATTCAATTATTTTTGGATTTATTACTACAGTCTTCAATTGGTAGTGGCTATGCCTCCACGCTGTTATTTTACTACCAACACGACTACTGTACTTAACATTGCATTCTCCATAAGAGTTGTGACTTCATCCTAAAGACATATATAATAACAACACAAGCGTCCAGAATTTTCATGTATTCTTCAAAGACACACGCATGCAATCGACCATTGTTTTGTCAATTGCCACTTTTATCGTTAGTGTAAATACTTTTGTTTGGACTTCTTTTAATAATACACCTAAATATGTTTTTTTTTAATAGGAAAAAATGGTCACCTATAAGAATGTAATTTGTAAATATAAATAATTAATTTAAAAACCATTCTTTTTACATATAGGTGTATATGATATTTATACAGAGTGAGACACGAAGATATGACAAATTCCAAAATTTGTTTTACTTTAGTACTATACAAATAATATAATACATCATATATTTTTAATTTATCTAAAAAAAGTAAAACAATTTTGTAAAGTAGATTTTAGCAAAAAATTTAGTAAAAAATATCTTATTAATGTTCAGTAATAAATTATTTGTAGCATTTTAAAACTTATGAATTATTGTGTTTAATTTTACGTATCAAACATTATAATATGAGTTTAAAAAAGGCAAAAGAAAACGAAATCTATACATGATAAATAAAAAAACTAATAATCTATACAGTTAATTAAATTATGTTTAAGAAGTTAAGCAAAATAAATAATAATAACAATAGTAATCATCAAAATTTGATATAATCTAACACGATTTAATGATTGAAAAAACGAATAACTTTGATTATATTAATAATCGACATACTTATAAATGTAAAAAATAATCAACTATTGTAATAAATAAAAAATTTGTGTATGGTAAATTCAAAAATCATAATGTTTAAGCTGATTAAGATAAGAAAAACGCAAATTACTTGGTAACGGAGAAATTAAAAATGTATAAAATATTTTTTAAATTCTTGATTTAAATGATATATAAATGATTTTAGGTGTAAATAAAATAGGTTAATTTAAATTTTAAATTATCGTTAGGAACAATTCGGAGTTTTTAAATAGCTATATTAATTAAAAACTTGTTAATTTCAGTATATTAGAAAATCAACGACAATTATCATATCAAATATTTATCATTTGGAATAAATAAAGGTCGTGCTATTACTTGTAATAAATAAACAACAAAGAGATCTGCTGTCTTCCATCTATCAAATTTTGAAATTCATTTACAGGTGCTCATTCAATCATAGATTATTTTCATGGAAATAGTTATATACTTATAACTAATATTTATCATGAAAATATTTCATTTATTTTTGTTCTTTTTTCAACTTTTATTATAATATTTGATATAATAAAATTAAACAATATTAATAAAATATTTATTTACCAAATTACTACTCTACAAAATGGCTACCTTGATTTTTTTTTATAAATTTTTCGTAAATATTAAATTTTTTCCTTTTTTTTTTAATAAATTACAAAAATATAGTATATTATTTTATTTGTATTAGTGATGGGCATTTTCGAATATTTTAAACTATCGAATACCTATTCGAATTGTGTTTATACAACCGAATAGTTTATTTTTAGCATAAACTATTGAATAGTTTTTAAACTATTTAAATATATTGTGTAACTATCGAATATTTTTTGAATGACTATCGAATAGTTCGATAGTTACTATTCGATATTTCTCATCACAAATTTGTATAGTACTAAAGTCTAAACATTATTTAAAAAAGAATTTAATGTAAAATATTAATTGGCATTAAAGTTATGGAATTTGTCATATATTGGTGATTCTGTGTATATCTTTGTTACTTCAACATAAGGGTAGTAATAAATATAATCTGGTTTGTCTTATTCTTGAAAATGTGTCGCAGTAGTACAAAATTATTTTAGGCAATAAACATTCTGAGAGTATGTTTTATGATGACAAAGTAAATGTTTTGGAATATGTGAACATTGTATATATAAATAAACATCTTAAAGTTATAAAGAATAATTGTCCACCTAGCAAATCTACCATTGGTGTAATAATAAAAGTTATCATAAAAAAAAAAAAAATTAAGATGAAATACCTACTTATACTCATATAGTTTTGTTTAACGAGCGGTTCATTACATACATTCCAACAGGAGGCAAATAATAATACTTGTAAATACTCCAAAGATAATCTTAAAAAAAGGAAACACGTCATTTTATTTTTATATAGCATGACTTAGTCAAAATGGATTTATTGGGTTTTAAAACACTTCTTTGTCACTATACCATAAAATATTGAGTCATTTTAACATACATTTCATCTGATTTTATTTTTAATGTTCTTTTTTCAGATATTGTTAGTTCTTTGATTTCAGACTTCTATGGCAGTAATAGAGTATGCTGAATTATCGCGGAGACTAATTACATTCAAAAACTAACTGTGGTTGATCTTGATTTATTTTTTTTGCTGTTTTCTATTTCAAACATAAATAATACAATATATCAAGAAACAAACAAACAATAATGCTTTTGGAAATAGTTTTTAGTTTCCGATTTATAGTTATCTAAGAATAAAACGTTCTAACACAATTTTGTTAAAAATGTTGTTTTTGATAACTATTTATAAAAATTAATTATGCATTTATGAAGACTTAAATGAAGACGTTACACTCTTTATATATCAAAATAGCATAAATAAAGTTCAATAGTTCTATATAATTGTATAATTTTTTTTTAACGGCCTACTGAAAGTCGTTGATATTACGTTATAACCTATCGTTGTCAGGGACACATTTAGTTTTAATAATTTAAATTTTTTCTGAAAATTTTACTAATTCATCTAAACTAAAACTTTTGATTTCAAAAATTTAATGAAGCGATATTTTCATTCTAAGTATTAAATACTATTTATGGAATTCAACGATTTACAAAAAATTAACCCTAAATTTTATATAGTATTAAACTTACTACTTTTATCTATTTAATCATCTTTTAATAAAAACTTTACTGAATTAATCACGTTAAAAATAAAATAAAATAAAAATGTTGAGCTAACAAGGTAATTATAGTAATTTAATCATTAATCACACCTTCAAAGTACTTTGATGTAATTTTGAATATAAATTTTTGTTCTCGATACCAAATAAATATATGTTATCTGAACTGTACCTTATCAGAGATAGTCTATATATACCTGATAAAAATTGTTTTAATACTTATAATATGTATATATATATATACATATGGAAACAACATCAAAAATTCATGTAATTACATATACAATAACTTAACTAGTTGGTCCTGACGTCCTGTCTCCTTTTTTATTCATAGGACTTTTTCTAATTATAATAGTTTATGAAATTAAAACTGTTTTTTGAAACTATTTTGTTATGCAGATTATTCTAAGTATTAATAAGTAATGAATTACTTGACTAAAAGCATAATAATGAATAATGGAAATATATATAAATTACTTTTGAGTGTATAAATTCATGAATTTATAATTAATAAATAATAAATAAAAATTAATACAAGCATATTCCAATAATATCAATAATTTTTGTTAAAATAGATTATTAAACACTGTCAAATATATGATGTATGAATTTATTTTTAATTTGACAAAACTAGAATACTAATACCTAATTGATGAACGTTTCACGTTACAAATACTCCTAATTATCGATTTCAAACCTAACATTTATATATTAAAAAAGTAATAAAGTTTAAAAACAATACAATTCAATATTAATAACCGAGTGGCGTGTGTGTGTTAGATAAATAATCACAAGAGTAGACCCCTAAATAGAAAATTGGGCGTCGCCAATATATTAAATTATAAAAATACCATATGGAATCGTTTTGTAATCCATTTAAAAAAGCAAAAAATGAGAGAACTGTCCAGACTTTTGTTTGATAGACTTTCATGAGATAACGGTAAATATATTTATTATATAATCTATCAAATTTCGTTCACTGTTTTTATGGTTGAGTTTAAAGATCTCTCACCTACCATTAAGAAAATGAGGATGAATTTAAAGAAAAGGAAAACTAATATATAAATAAATGAATAATGTTCAGTTTTTTAGTTAGTGACGAGACTATTACAGGACTTCTTACTTTAAATGCATATAATTGTAAGACCTTTGTATCAAAAAATATTTCACACACCCGACAAATCGGTACTAAATATCAACCTTATATTAGAACCCTGAAAATAAAATATCATAATTCCATGAGATATAACCTCACACGAGGTCCTGCACTTAAAATAACCTCGCAATCAAATTTGATGAGTAAAAAAATAAAACTAGCACAGTGAGGACGCGGTATAGTTAGGACAAGTGTAGATGATATCAGACAGCGATTAAATGTTTGTAAAAATATTTCAATTTTAAGTCAAATAATTCTTTGAAAAATACCGTAGGAACGTTTTTCTTTTTCTAAAATGTCATTAATGATAAAGGTTTAAAAAACTCAGACGTCCCAGAATATTTCCAAAAATTTAGTTTAAAAATTATTATTATTGGGTATGGGAGGAATTTTTTAAGCTCTTCCTGTACTTATGTTTTTCATTAATTTTTCATAAGAAGTTTATCATAAGAAATCTTATTGTCTCTAGTATATTTTATTATAATTTTAATTGGATAAATATTTAGAAAGAAAAATTATAGCATATTTTAGATTTAGATAATTTAAAAAAATACTATTTTGTACGTTAGAAGATTTTGGAATATTTTCTAAAATTGTAGGTATTATTTTACTATAATAAATTATTGCTATCGAATTTATTACTAAAAATTTGTTTACGATTTCTGGCACCAACCTTTAATGTCATTGTACAAATGATCACATAAAGTAGTATGATCTTTAAAAATCACGAAAGTAAATAGTGTTTTCAGTTATCTGCACTAAAGCCGAG